TGTATCTGCTCTGAACTGAGGAGCAGCCGCCTTATAACCGTATCGTCTCGTCTACATCAAAGAACCGGTTCTGTCTCCAGTTTCTTCTGACAGCTGCTCCTCACACACACACACACACACACACACACACACACGCACGCAGCAACGTCCGGTCCATAAAAAGGACGTCTAGGATTTGTCCTCGGTGTCTCAAGAGAAGGTGAGTTCTACCTCACAGGTCATCAGTCAAAGGTCAAAGGTCAAGGTCACTTGTGTTTTCTTTCCTTTTTGATCTCACAGGAAACGTCGAGGATCCTCAAGGCTGTTTTTTTTTTGTTGTTTTTTCCTCGGAGGCCGACGGACAGGATGACGAGGGAGAGTTCTTTCTTTTGTGTCGAGGTGAAAAGAATCCAATAAAAAGTGATTTACAGCTGAGGACGTGGCCGTGCGTCTCCTCTCCTAAGGACTGGTCTGGAGACGTTCATCTGCGTCGGCCCGGGTCTCCTCACACCTGCAGACGTCCTCCTCCTCCTCCTGTCCCTCACCGTCGTCCTCCTGCCCCGGGGTGGGGCAGTGGTGCAGCGGTGAACACCTGATCAGCCCCACAGTCCCTGCACTGTCCAACACTGCCGGTCCTTCCTCCTCCTGCAGCTCAGACTCCTCCTCAGCCAGGTTTCTGACGGGGTGAGATAAAAATTAATAACAACTCGGGTCATCCCACGTCTGCCGGACATTAATAAAAAACAAAAATGACATTTTTTTGTCTAACTTTAGTTTATTTTGGAATCCAGTTTAGCGGGCCTGATTTGGCCTGCAGCCCACCAGTTGATTACAGGACCATCAATCATCCTGGAGTAATTCACACCATGGTGTTTGTCTGTGTCCACCTTCATTGTTCATTGTTCATTGTTCATTGTCTATTATGTTGATGACGTGGAGTTGTTTTGTCTTCATTTTTTACAGCGTGCTAACCCTGACGTCTCACTTCTCACGCGATTTAAGGAGGATTTATGCTCAACATCTGGGACCTGGGACCTGTTCAAGTCCTGCAGGTGTTTGTCCTCTTTTTTTATTGTGTTTATGGACAGAGTAATATTCAGCCTTTGGCTCAGTGGACGTGGAGTCTGAGGCAGACGTCGGAGGTTAGAACTATAAAAAATATCAACTTTAGCAGTTGGTTCCATCTTAACTTTCATTTTTCTTCTTCTTCTTTTTCTTTTTCTTACCCGTCACTGAGACTCATTTCAGACTGGAACGGACTGTCGTCACGGCTACGGCCCAGACTGCACCTCTCATCACAGCAGAGCGATGGGACCAGGACTGGACCTGAACGTCACAGACATTAAAAAAGGTTCAACTGTCTGAGAGACGGTGAGTTCATTCAGAAAACAGTTCTCCTACAGCACCGATTCCCAACCGCTGTGTCGTGAGAGATCACTAGGTGTGTCGCCGAAAATGATCCAATTTCACTAATTGAGCTGAAAACTATTATTTATTTATTGCATATCATTTTTCTTTGCTCGTCAAAGCATGAAAGGCGGAACAATTAAATCGTCTTCTGCTAGGTGGCAGCAGATGGCTATGAAAACTAAAAAAAAAACACGATAATCAAACCTGTTGAAGAAGATCTTTGTGAGTGTCTTTCTTCAATTCCTGCCAGTATATCAGCGTTGTCTTCAACTAAACAGGCTGAGATTTTAGTCAATGTTGAGGTCATTATTATATTTCACTACATAGACTTCAGGTCTGTTCTGGTCTGGTCTGGTCAAGTCTGGTCAGGTCTGGTCTGGTGTGGTGGTGTTCTCTGCTGATGTGTATGTACTGTGGCTCAGTGTCAGTCGGAGTTCAACCCACCACTCTGCTCAGGACCCAGGTGACACTGGCAGCACGATCTCTGGGGGAAGTCCTGGATCCAGCGGTGGTCCAGACAGGACAGACCTGCTCCGCTGTAGGGACAGTCCTGGGACCTCAGAGACACAGCTGAGGAAAGACAACGGAGGACGGTCAACTCAGAGACACTGCAGTCGGAATACTCAGCTTTGACCGACTGATCCTGGCAGGGAGGGAGGGAGGGAGGGAGGGGGGAGTCAACCTCACCCTGGGACAGTTCCTCATATGGAGACAGAACAACCGTTCACACACCCTCCAGACAGAAACCCCACGAACATAACCATCGAGCCAGCGACCTTCTTGCTGTAAGGCAACATCGCTAAAAATATCATCCACCGTATGGACCTTCAACAAAGTAATTTTTTTTTTAGAAAATCACCTTGAACATCGGTCGAGGACGGACGTTAATGCTGTCGTTCGTTGTTTCGTTGCACAGAAACATTTTCATCTGTTACTGACGTTAGAAAAAGAACAGATTTATTTTCCGACTTTATAATAAATGCTACGACAGCACAGGCTCAGACTGGTCTCATAACTGATTCATCAGAGTTCTACCTTGGGCCCGTGGTCCTTTAGTTGTTTACTGTCTTAGCACTAAAAGGTGGGACCAGAAACGTTAGAAATTGAGGAGGTAGCTAGGCTAGGCTAGGCTAGGCTAACGTTGTCGTGTCTGTAACGTTAGCATACGTATGTCCGCGTGAACCTCAGGTGAATTGTCCGTAGCTGCCGTTGTGTCAGTGTGTCGGCTGGTGATAACCATTTAAATTCTTCAGTGTGATTCAGAAACCGCTGTGTTTTGCTAGCGTTGTGCAGCGGCGTGAGTGAAGGGCGGGGCCGTGTTTGTTAGCCGAACGCCTGACAAAATATTTGACTCTTGTCCTCGTTAGCAGTGTGTGAGTAAATGTCAGAGCCGGTGCTGGTGCTGTTTGTTTCAGATGAAAACGTGGGGCAAACATGACGTAGCTGTTGCCCCCGGGGGCTGTTTCACAACAGCCTTGGCCCCGAGACTGGAGATCATTATACATGTTAGCACAAATATGCAACATCAGGTTTCAATAAGGCTCAGACTGAAGATCAGTGTTGACAGATGTGTGTGTGTGTGTGTGTGTGTGTGTGTGTACATAATAGAAGAGCAGTAAATATAATGATCTTCAGGCTTTTTATAGTCTCCATAAAGGAGGCGCTGCAGTGAACATCAGCTGTTGACATCGCAATTAATATTGTCGTATAATATCAGTAATTAAATTATAATTATTATTATTTATTGACGGGTTGTTTGATTGATACAACAGAATATCAACACAATGAAGACGGTTTTGTTTTCACTGCCACAAGGTTCCATGACTGTAATCTGAAAATTGAAATAATAAAAATATATATATATATATATATATATAATTTATAGTATATATATATTTTTTTTTTTCAGATTATTGTCATTGAACCTTGTGGCAGAGAATTGTGGCAGTGAAAACAAAACCGTCTTCATTGTGAAAAAGTTCAGTTCTTGGGTGGGACGTTTTCAAAGAGGAGAACAAACCCCGTGGTGCCTTCAAAGACAGTGGTGCGTTCAAAGACAGTGGTGCGTTCAAAGACAGTGGTGCGTTCAAAGACTTTCTGAGAACAACATTTGAACCTCCTCTGGACGTTGTTGTTCTTCTCCTTGAAGACTGGACCTAAAGCTCGGGTTCTTTAGCTTGCAGTTCTCGTCACTCACCACTAGGCTTCTTCTCCAGCAGCTGTCTCTTGCAGTAGATGACACACAGGACCAGCAGAGCCAGCAGCACCGTGGCCAGAGCGCTGCAGATGACGGCGGCCAGGGCCATGTCCCGCGGGCTGGTCACCACCGCGGGCAGAGGAACCAGGTTGACCCGCCCACCGCCTGAGGAGAAAGACGGAGGTCAGACGAACGTGGAGAAGAAGAGACAGACAGGAAGTGACAAGGACGAATGAGGAGGTGAGTTGGAATTATAACGAGGCTTTGAACCCGCAACCTAATGAAATAAGCAGAGGAGCTGGGGTGTGGGGGGGTCAGTGTTGGATTTTCTCTTTATCTGCATTTCTCCAGCTTCACAGAAGATGATTTACAGCCACTTTGACCCCCCCTCCACCCCCCCACCCTCAGGTTTCTTCACACGCAAGTCAGCAATGAAGTCCAGAGTGCGGCCAGGCGTTTCTCGGTCCAACACTGAGCGTAAACCGTCTGTGACCGTTGGACGCCGGCCGCAGACATCAGGAGTGTGTTTTCACTTTCTCTCTGTTTTTGTTTCCCTCATATTTGACCTGACGTCGGCGTCGGGTGCAGCTCCACAGGCAGCGCCGCCCAGCGCTGATGAGCTGCTGCAGTTGTTTGAAATATTTCTGGCTCCTGCTGCAGGTAATTATCTTTTCAAACAGCCGTCACAGATCAAAGCTGGCTTTGTTTTGGTTTTGTTTGGGTTTTTTTTAAAGTCAACTCAGAGCAGCCAAACGAAAGGCATGACTAGAAGTTTTTATCACTGTCAGAGTGAACAGAAAAATGTGATATGGAGAACGGATGTTTTCAGCCTCGTATCCAGCTCCTCATCGGAGTCGGCTGTTATTTCTGGCAGATAATAAACCTGTTGTTGTGGAGTTTTTGGTCATTTTCAAAAATTTACAAAACTGAATCTGGAAAAAGGCTCTCAGGGAAAACACAAATGGAATGCAGTCTCCTCTTCTTCTTCTTGCTGTGTTTCCTTTTTCGTGCACATTCTGAGAGTTCGCTCTGAACCTCAGCCCAGCCAACGGTCGTCGGCGTCCGATCGTGGGACGTTTCAAACCTCAAAAATGATTTGTTTCTTCTTCAGAAACCTTTGTTTCATTTCCCAGTAAGGCTGAGGCCGAGGCAGAGCGTGCAGCTCATTATAACTTTCTCAGATCATTATCAGTTGTCCAACGTGATTTTCCTGATCACTCTGTGGTGCAGATTAATCCGACAACCACTGAGCGTAAATGCTGGAACGACGAGAAAAACCCGTGGCCGGGGAAAGTTTGATCAATCTGCTGCCGTTCCAATCCTTTCACATCCAAGAAGAACTCTTTGTTACGCAACGTAAACATTACTTTAGCAGCGAGGAGTTGTTTTGTTGAGCAACGATGGGGGATACGGGTATTTTAACATTCCTTACTAAAGAAAAAAAAAAACAAACGGCTCCGACCAAAAAGTCCAGACTGAAGAGGATCCTGACTGACGCTCTCTCACAGAACCTCACGTTCATATTTAGTTCTCACGTCCGACTCTCTCACAGAACCTCCGTGTAAAAACCAACCGTCACGTTCATATTTAGTTCTCACGTCCGAGGTGAGCGTGGTCCGACCGACGACACAAAGGCAGTTTGTTGTCAGAGGCCGCGCAGCTGCAGCAAACACAGATAAAAGTGAGAGAGTGAAGCCGACTCAGCTGCTGATCTTATCTCTGCACCATAAACCACAGACGCTCTGTCTGTTGACTCCACCAGGAGGCCGCACAAAAGACGCACTTCTCCACACCTCTTTGACTTCTGTTCTCCACACAACACCGTTTTTAAGTAGGAGAACGGAGAACGTAGAGATGAATGAGACAGTAAAACCAGGTACATGTGTAGCAGTGCTGCCCTCTGTGTGTACTCTCTCTCTTTTTCCTTTGTCTTTTGCAGGTGGAGGAAATGTTTTGGAAATGTGGACAGTACAGTACAGCCAGTAGGTGGCAGTGAAAAGATGGAGGCTGCAGTTAAAGATTTGCTGTCAGACGTTCAGACCAACGCAGGTTTGACTCCCGGGTCACAACATTTGACAGATTTTACAAAAATTCACTGAACTTCACTCATCGATCACAGTCTGTGTTTATAGCACCCCCTGCAGAGAGGAAAAGGAGGAGCTCCATGCTCTGTATAGTTAAACATTAACCCTCATAAAACCTTCATATTCTACCTTACTTTTAAAACTACTCCATGTTGTAATGAAGCAGAGATTGTTGTTATTTAAGGTAAAAAACAAAAAGAGTTTGGTTGAAAATCCAGAGAAGTGAGAGAGAAAAAAACCTGCTGGTGGTTTTGGTGCGGTGAGAGCAGATCACATGCAGCTTTGAAGATCAGGAAGATCAGAGGGAGAGCTGAGGCTGTGAAGTCTGTCGGATCATGTTTCCTCTCAGTGCCATGAAAACCTGCGCTCTTCATTTCCTGATATTTCAAAGGTTGGACTTCAAAATAAAAAAAGGTGCTGCTGTTTTTTTGGCTGAACTTCAGAACTGAACCATTGTTTCTTCTCAAACAGAAAACACAACCGTGTACTCCACCGCGCGTTCGTCTGGGTGGGCGCCGTCGGAGCGGCTACGAGCTAACAAAGATGAGATTCTCTGAGTGAGTGTCACTGCAGCGAAGGGTCAGTACGGTGTGTCAGTGTGTTTGATCCAACACGACGATGAAGAAGTTCAAGAATCCATAAAACCATCTCACTTTTACTTCACTCCAAAAGAA